AAGTAGGAGAACTGGAGTTTACAGATAGAAAGTAGGAGAACTGGAGTTTACAGATAGAAAGTAGGAGAACTGGAGTCTGTATATTTATATTTTTTCAACAAAGAAATAGGAATTTACTGCTTTTTGTTCTATTTTAAGGGGAGTTCCAGGGGGGCCCAAAAAATATGCCCCCCCCCCCTTTGAGATAATGGTTTAGTCCACCCCTGCCTTCAAAAATGAGTTTTCTAATATGTCTTTATTTAAAAAATGTAAATATTATTAGTAAAATAATTTTTCACCTGAATAACATCTGGCCCAACCAGATCTTTAAAATGTAAACAAAGATGCCTAAAATATAAAAAAAATAAAACTTTATAATTTCATTTTTTTTTAATCTAATCACCTTCTAAGTAAAGTTTTACTCGTTGGTATAGAGAGTAGAGAAGCTAATAATTCTGCTGTAAACCGGTTTTCCTAAGAACAAACATATTAACATTATATAAAATATAGTCACCTTTCTTAATCTTTTTCAACATGGGGAGAGAATCAACTGACATCCTTTATACCTGGATTAAGAGTGCTCCATGTACTCCACTACCCCTAAGGTTCGGAGCATATACCTGGATTAGGAGTGCTCCATGTACTCCACTACCCCTAAGGTTTGGAGCATATACCTGGATTAGGAGTGCTCCATGTACTCCGCTACCCCTAAGGTTTGGAGCATATACCTGGATTAGGAGTGCTCCATGTACTCCGCTACCCCTAAGGTTTGGAGCATATACCTGGATTAGGAGTGCTCCATGTACTCCGCTACCCCTAAGGTTTGGAGCATATACCTGGATTAGGAGTGCTCCATGTACTCCGCTACCCCTAAGGTTTGGAGCATATACCTGGATTAGGAGTGCTCCATGTACTCCGCTACCCCTAAGGTTTGGAGCATATACCTGGATTAGGAGTGCTCCATGTACTCCGCTACCCCTAAGGTTCGGAGCATATACCTGGATTAGGAGTGCTCCATGTACTCCGCTACCCCTAAGGTTCGGAGCATATTCTGAAAGATCAACTTGTCTCAACCATTCCATCACTCTAAACCAGAAGACGAAATTAAAACAATTTACTGAAGTGATACTGATGTTAGACCAGTAAGTTATTAAATCACGTATTAAGTGAAATGGGTCTGTTTACACTGCACAATTGCTGTGCTTCATGTTTTTTGGACTATCTAAAGTCATAAGTTGAGTCTAAAAATCGGCTTACTATTCCAGAGTTATCACTGAATAAGATGAACTGAGTCTTTGTCACAAACTCAAGTTTTTAAATCCCTAATTGTGTTTGCAACATGCTACAGAATTCATAGTTTGAAGTATCTAAGCTCTGCGACATTAGGTCGCAAAGATATAGGGATAAGAAAATCAGAGTTTGTGACAAAGACTTCATTCCTTTGACCTTCTTGTGTCCTGAACCATGTTAAATCATTAAAAGAATAAAAATAATAAATATTGTTTTGCTTTTATTAATAGCCTTATCAATACATTTTCGACATTTTTAATTAAGATTTTTTTCCTTTAAGAAACTGATTACCTATGATTAGTCCAGTAGACAACATCAGAATGGACTATCTGACTTTCTCTTTCTCCGGGTATACCTCTCCGCTTGAGACAGGACGGATCGAACCCGTTGCTCCGGAGTACATCAATGCCATGCTTCAAGGAGAGATGATGAAGCTGATTGGTAACCTGGAAAACAATTAAATATGACGTTCGATCTTTTTTTAATATTATTGTAGATGTAATTTTATATAAACTTCCATTTCCAGAGTAGCATGTCAAATAACAGCAGTATCTGTTGAACCTCTCTCAGAAAATTCATTATTTTTAATTGTTATATCGCTATAAAAGTAACCGGTGGATTTACATTGCGACGAAAAAATTATTGATAAAAATATCAAAGTATTTTTGGAGCAAATTTGCAAATTTTATATAACAGCGTGAACAATTTGCTTAGCAATAAAAAGAACCTTTTTAGTAAATTTAGAATAAAAAAATCCATAAAGTTTTTGTTTTAACAACCTTAAATGCTGATAACCGTATTGAATGCACTAGACCAGCTGCATAAGGTAACCATAAAAGGAAATATCAAAATATCGTCAACAGATGGCTTTTATATTGAACTTTATATGTGCTTTTTTTAAATACAGGGTTACCTACAAAGGATGAGACTGTATCGAAGACCTGAAACTCTTAAAATTTGACGATTTGAAGATTAATTTGAGACTTTTGACTTAAATTTAGTCTTAAAATGCATATTTAATGATTTAACCTAAAAAAGAACTATTTAACTGAAGCTGCCGGGTATCATGAATATCATGAATACAGCTAGACAGCTTATACATCTCGTCTTTGAAGTTTTATCCTTTGTGGGTAACCATGTAGAAACTGTCGTGACAGCGACTTTTAGGCGGATGGGTCGTGGTTACTTTTATTAAATTAAGATAATAAAATGTTTTGAGGATTAAATTTATTTTATTAGTTGGATTATACTTACTTTTAGTTGGATTATACTTACTTTTAGTTGGATTATACTTACTTTTAGTTGGAAGAGTTCATCTATTGTGAGATAGTTTAGTACTCTGAGATTAGATTTTTTCTAATATTTTTTTTTCCCCGAGGAAATTAAAAAATTTAAAGGGATTGTTACGAAATTTTAAGTGACAATGAACATGTTCAATTCACAACGGTACCCTTAAGAGCTTTTACTGATCAAGTATGAATTAGATATCCATGTTTTTGCTTTTTACAAAAGTTTTTTTTTCATTTGTGGTTTCTTCATATTATTGATCAGATTAAGGTTTCAAGGGTACCGTTGTGAATCGGAATTAAGTGGAGGATCACTTAAAATTACGACTACAGTCCCTTTTGATAACAAAAATTAAGAAGAAAAACTTTCCTTCCGTCCACTCTGGCCTCTAGGAAGCTGTCCTTGTACTGCGGTAATCCTACATCGTCCAACCATCTTCAAAAAATATCATTCGTAAAACTTAAAACTGCGGATTTTTCGGTTAATATTAATTTTTTTAATTTAAAAAAAAGACATTTTTTCATGGCAAAATTGTCAACTTTAAAGTTTCCATTAACCTTCGGGGTCATGTGAATTGCCACAAAAAAATTGGGCCCGATAGGTTCGGTCGTTTTGACATTTGATAGATACATTCTGACAGACTGCAGAGTGCAGACAAGCCAAATTATTCATATTGGCATCAGTTCTTTAATTTTTGATTTTAAAAAATATAGTCTAAACATCAATATATTACCTAAAAAAAGAAGGAATGATCATAAAAGGCGATTTATTACTTTACAAAATTATGAATTTATTTTTGGGTTTAACAGTGGTAGGCGAGTACAAAGTCGACTTTCTATTTAAGTTTTGATTTCTATTAAGCTTTTTCTAATTACAAGTTTATAAGTAATCAAAGAGAAGCTTTTTAATTGGCAGCTTCTCATGACTTCTATATTTGTGTGTATTCATGCTGTTTAACAGCTTGATGTAAACTAAAATTGAAATTGAAAGTCGTCTTCATTTTATTGTTGTAATTGCTACAACTGTCATTTCACTTTTCTGCATTGAAAGCATAGAACTGCAGGGGTCATCTTCTACCTGGAGTCTACAAAATATTCTACCTGGTGACCCATTGATTATCCAGCCTACTGCAGGGGTCATCTTCTACCTGAAGTCTAAAGAATATTCTACCTAGTGACCCGTTGATGATCCAGCCTACTGCATGGGTTATCTTCTACCTGGAGTCTAAGGAATATTTTACCTAGTGACCCATTGATGGTCCAGCCTACTGCATGGGTCATCTTCTACCTGGAGTCTAGAACTGATGGCCAGCATCAGCTTCTGCAAAATCAATTAATCAATTATAGTCTTAAAATATTTAATGTTTTCAAGATGATCACACTTAAAAAGCTGTTTTTCTAGATTATTTTTTTGCTCCGCTGCTTTTTTTGTTCACTCCAATTTATCTTAATTTTTCCTTTTTCTTGTTATATTGATTTGTTATTTTTTGCCATAGAGATCATTTTGAATATTTCCGATGATCGATAGTGTGTAAGTAATGGACTTTAAAATGTTTCAATGGACCCTACGCAAAAATGGCAATCTCTGATTCACAACGAAACCCTTGAAACCTGTATCTAATCAAACATGTGGAAGATATTGTCGTTTTTTTAGGTTAAAAGTGGTTAATTTAAGTTTTCTTGCAGGAGAAATGCGCAAATCCCTTTTGTAGAGAAACCGTAATGAAAAATAATTGTTTTCAAAATTACAATTATGGATACCTAATTCATCCTTGATTTGACAAAGCATTTAAGAGTACAGTTGTGAATCGGCATTTCTATCTTTGCAAGAAGGGTCACTTGAAATTACGCGAACAATCTCTTTTTTTGTTTTTCCATTTTACCTTTTTGTGAAGATTGTGTTTGATTCCAAGTTTGTTCTCAAGGTCTGACGAGGACATAGAGGCCAAATGGGCTCCATCTTTAATCAGCCTCCTGACCTCGTTGCTGTACATATACAGGCCGAGGTTGTCGAACCATGAACAGAGGAGGTCAATTGACCACTGTTCGAAAGGGAGGTCAGGCTGTAGAAGACCAACAGTTCTTTGAACCTCCCAACCACAGGCTATTTTACTTCCTGCAAATGTTTTAATGTCGTTGGATTTTCAAGATGCATGTTTGATTCACAACGGTATCCTTTTAGCCTATATCTGATCAATAATCAGGAACTTAAAGGGAGTGTTGGCAATAAATGAAAGGGGGTTGATCGCAACTAATCTTAATTCTATCTGTTACGCCAATAAGGAGAAATTGTTACAACGACTAATACCGAAGAACACATAGCAGCCAAATAATCGCTTAAAGTACATAGTATATGAAACAAACGTAAAGCATATTATGAAATATCAACTTTATTCGAATGCGTCGAAAAATTATCAATGATTATAGATTGTAATATCTGAATGATTTAATTAAATTGATTGTTTTACGATCCGAGTAGAATGATCCAACTTTCTGAATTTATACGGACGCTACGTTCTTCGGTGTGGGCTTTTTTTACAACTTGGTCATTATAGACTCAACAGAGAGAAGTAAGATTAGTAGCGATCACCATCGATCTTTTTTCGACGCAAGCCTATACCCCCTTTCATTTTTCGCAAACACTTCCTTTAAGGGTACCGTTGTGAATCAGAAATTGTATTCTATAGATTGAAACTACGCCTTCAGTCGCATTCATGCACTGTTGAAGAAATCCTATCATTGTATTCGACTTATTTATAAGAGCGAAGAAAGTACCAGGCATAGATCAAAAAATATTTTCTTTGTGGAGAATATTGTAATGATTTCAAGAACAGGGTGTCCCACGAAACATGAGAGTCGGTGAATAGTTTGAAATGTCTTCTTCCATGATTTTTTAAGTTGTTTGATACTAAAGAGACTAATAAAAAATAGGATACGACAGTCGTATTACAGTAAAATTGATTTCAAAGTATAACATATTTTAGTAAAAGACTTTTCAACTAAATAAAATGCACAAAAAGTCTTCAACATCTAATACAGCATATGGAAGAAGACATTCAAAACTATTCACCAACTGTAATGTTTCGTGGGACACCCTGTACTTATACATCTCTTAGTGTCATTAGGTTCTCCTGTTGGCGCTTAGCAGCTCTAGACAATCAAAAGAGCAATCTCTCATCATCTCATGTAGTTCACGAGATGTGCGAGATGAAATATAAGGGAGATACAACTGACGCGGCCCGCCCTACAATATGATTATACATGCTTTGCAGACGGTACTTCATTTGAATAAGAAATATTTGTCTGATATACAATAACCTATTCTGAATATGTCTTATACAAATGGAACACCCGTCTAAAAAAGCATGTATAATCATTTGGATGGGCGGGCCGCGTCAGTTGTATCTCCCTTCTACTTTCAAACCTAAAACAGTTTTCATCATAGAGAATCTATTTTTTTATGGCGAGATCAAATTCGAATTTCACAAGCTCGAATCCGAAAAAAAACCTTTTCAAAAGTGTATTTTTAGAAACAGCTCAAATTTGATTTGATTTTAATTCAAAATTTGTTTAATTACCTGCACTTGCTCTATGCTGATCTTTGTCAAAATCCTTGAGAATAAAACACACAAATTTCACAATTGCAAAACATGAAAATAACAAACTTGATGCATTTGTCTAGGATTTTAGACTGAAAAGAATTTAATCTTTAAAACATATTTTGAAAATTGATTTTCAAAACAAAGAACCTTTAATAATCAAGAGTTAGGGAGTATACAAAATGTTTCTTATGTACATTACAATTTGCTTTGGGAGTATTAAAACTTTACAATATTTGTGCATAAGATGTATGCAATGGGTTACCCACTAATGAAACTTTATAGACGACCTGAATCTCTTGAAACATTACAATCTTAATGTTTATTTTGATTTTGTGACTTGATTGCCATTTAATATATATCAAATGATTAGGCAAAGAATGCCATGAAATGAATGCATGAAGATGTTTAAAAAGTGCTGTACAGTCAGTTCGGAAGTCTCATTCTTTTTTATCAACCCTGTACATAAAACAATCTATATAATAAAGCTCTTCGTTCATATTGAGCTATTATTTGAAATTTGTGTGAATATCCTTCCTGTTTAGGTTCCTGTGGAATATGTCCCGAATTAGCTCTTCTCATCTTACACAGTATCTTCTTTAAACCACGTGGTTTAGTTGCAATAGGAGCCTTGACAATATAAATAGTATTAAAATAACATATTTTTATCTGTTTCTGTATCCTTGAACTGTACCTGGTCTGTATCTATTTCTGTATCCTTGAACTGTACCTGGTCTGTATCTGTTTCTGTATACTTGAACTGTACCTGGTCTGTATCTGTTTCTGGATCCTTGAACTGTACCTGGTCTGTATCTGTTTCTGTATCTTTGAACTGTACCTGGTCTGTATCTGTTTCTGTATCCTTGAACTGTACCTGGTCTGTATCTGTTTCTGTATCCTTGAACTGTACCTGGTCTGTATCTGTTTCTGTATCCTTGAACTGTGCCTGGTCTGTATCTGTTTTTGTATCCTTGAACTGTACCTGGTCTGTATCTGTGCCCCTGTCTGTGCTTGGATCTCTATGCCTGGTACTTGGAACAGAACTGTGTCTAAAAAAAGTCTGTTTTAAACATTTTTTAGAAGAAAAGAGACTGTTTTTGTTATTTCAGGTGTACCTCATTTACCAGAGAGGCATACGCGATTCACAACAGTACCCTTGATACCTTTTTCTGAGTAATAAGAACTATACCTGATACTATTAGATCAAGAAAAGAAGACGACCTACAGGGATAACCAGAAAACTGTAGAATAGGAAGACGACATTAATGGAATACTGAAGTGCATTTGATGTTGTTACAAAGCAAAGAGCTCTTCTAGTAAGTTATTAAACCACTTACTATGTGAAATGGGTTTGTTTAGAAAGCACAATCGCTTTGTCTACTGTTCATTGGACTATTTAAAGTCATAACTTGAGTCTAAAAGTCTACTTCCTATTCCAGAGTTTTCTGGTTATCACTGTAATATCTAAGAACTATACCTGATACTATTAGATCTGGAGAAGAAAGACGACCTTGTATCTCCACGTGTTGGACTATTACTGCTCTCTCCTTTACTCCTACTACAATACAGAACGCCAATAGGGTGTTTGGTACTTTTCTAAAGGTATTTTCCCAAGGGCGACTTCCGAAGTGACAATTCCCCCAGTTTGGTTAATTATCAACACCAAATTTTAAATCATCAATAATATAGGTTTTACCGTACAATGGTCGTCAGAATTAATTGCTTCATAAAAATTGACAAACTTAATAGTTTTATCATTTTCCCTGATAATACAAAGTGAAATTGTGAAACTTTCAAACTACCTAAATCAAAGACGATCTTTAAGAGTACTTTCAACTGTCATAATTAGTGGTCCACTCTGTAGCACTAACCCATAGATTAATAGCAATACAGATAGAACAGTATATGTCGTCATTTCAAGATTTTGGGGTTTTTAGTTCATAATAACCCTGAGACAGAAGCCCAAAGAAGATACGCGCATTCTGCGTTGAATGGCAAGACAGAGAGAGAGCATGCGCGTAACTCCTTGGACCTTCTGCCTTAGGGTTATTGTGTACGAAAAAACCCTTAATCTTGAAAAGACGACATCTAGTGTTCTATCTGTATTTTTATTTATCTATGCACTAACCTGACATTCTGCATCTGAACTGGGCGGAAAACTGAAGGTTGAGAAGGTTGAGGTGGTACAATAGTATTTAAAGAAGATTCCCTGGCAAAATATTTATTAATGCTTATTTACTTAATTTGATATTGCACCGTACATTTGTAAACATTGTTTAACACGCCTTAAATCAAGTGTTATTTTCTGCTAAACCATTGTAAATTATAAAAATAATTAAAAGAATGAATGCAATAATAAACAGGACATAAATATGAGGATAAATACAATCATGAAAAGGAAATAAATAAAAGAATGAATGCAATTATAAACAGGACATAAATATGAGAATTAATACAATCTTAAACAGGAAAAAAATAAAAGAATGAATGCAATTATAAACAGGACATAAATATGAGGATGAATGCAATTATAAAAAGGAAATAAATGAAAGAATGAATGCAATTATAAACAAAACATACATATGAGGATAAATGCAATTATAAAAAGGAAATAAATAAAAAAAATGAATGCAATTATAAACAGGACATAAATATAAGAAAGAATGCGGTTATAAACAGGACATAAATATAAGAAAGAATGCAGTTATAAACAGGACATAAATATAAGAAAGAATGCAGTTATAAACAGGACATAAATATGAGGATGAATGCTCTTATAAGAAGGAAAAAAATAAAAGGATAAATTCAATTATTAAAATTAAGTAAAAAAATTAATGCTTTTACAAAGAGGACGCTTTGGAAAGATAAATGAATGAATTCACCTATAATTAGGACGCGCCTAGGAAGGATAAATAAATGAATGAATTCACCTAAAAGTAGGACGCCAAGGAAGGATAAATCAAAGGATGAATTCACCTATAAGTAGGACGCCTAGGAAGAATAAATGAATGAATTCACCTATAAGTAGGACGTCTAGGAAGACTCCTGGTTCCATCAAACCCAGAGTCGGAGAGCTGAAGAGTTTTAGCCAACCTTCTCCTGGAGTAAAAATAATAAAAAATAGAATTTTTTTAAACTATTCCATTAAAACATTCATAGTAATTTTGAATACTTGAAGGGGTTCTGTAGACGTAATAAAATAATAGTTTTCACAGTAGTATTTTTAAACCTTTATTTGATCAAGGTTAAAAAAAAATTCAAAGTTCAACACATGTGTACTGTGTCGATGATATCTCCCTCAGTGTTACTAAGATAGAGGTAACAGGAAAACATATGTGAATCGGATATGTCACTCTAGAGATGAAGGGTTACTAGCTCGATTGGTTCAGCCGTTAATTGGACACAAACAGATACCAGGACAATATATATGTATAGAAAAATTCTAGCTTGAAACTCCAGCTTTGTCTGGACTTATCCGTATAAAAGTCAACACACTCAACTTGAATTCATAAACCAGGCTAACAATATTCCCGTTGTAATACCGAGTTTCCTCATCAATATTTCAGGCAAATTGGTGGGTTAATAAGTTTTGATCGCACGTCCTGACAAACAGAAATCATAACTTTTTATAATATAGATTATTATTTTTTATACTGTAGATTTATAATATATAATGTAATATAATGCAAGAGAAAGAACAAAAAAGTATATATATAATTTAATTATAAACCTGAGTTCAGAGTTCTCCTTCTCCGTACTGGTTTGCCGCAGCTTTAGTCCAGAAATCTCCGAGAGTAATTCAAGCTTCTGGGTTTCAAGCGAGGACCTAGATATAAGAGAAAATAATTCTTACCTTGGATACATTGCAAGGGGAACAGAAGCTTAAACTTTTTGTTTCAATAGCGCTTATCCACATATACAGTGGAAGACGACTTTTGAAGTCAATTTTGATTTATATCAAGCTGTTAAATAGCATGGATACACATAAACATAGAAGTCATGAGAAGCTGTCAATTAAAAAAGCTTCTCTTTGATTACTAGTAAACTTGTAATTCGAAAAAGCTTGTTAACAATCAAAGCTTCAATAAAAAGTCGTCTTCATATAATCGCCTACCATGTAGTGAAATCATTATTAAAGGATCTAAATTAAATTCCAAGGATTTACGAGAAATACATAGAGGAATTTTAAAAGAAAGGATAGTCTCTGTCTGAGCGCATTATATAAACAAAGTTAAATACAATAATTTTGAGTTCAACTTACTGACCTTTCTAGACGTCTGATGATTCTTCAGTACCCCCCCCCAAAAAAAAAAAATACGTTATCTATCAAAGTTTGACACATACATCTTTGTTCGGCTGAAGGTAAAGAATAAATGGATAGATAGAATGCTTATTTAAAATTTAAAATTTCCATAGAATTTTACCATGTCTTTAAAGCGTTGATGGTTTCTTGTAGGCCAAAACTGGCTAATTTCTGTGCTTACTGCTTACTCATTTAGTAAACCCTCAAAATACTCAATTGAATACAGAAACCAAAAATCAAGCTTCAAATCGTTATATTTTGGGTCGTCTTTACAGTCTCAAACTTTGTGGGTAACCCTGTACTATAGGCTGATCCACGAAACATGGCAGTAAAGATAACTTAAAGGTTTTTTATTATTATTGAGAGCTTTGATCAAAAAAGATAAACGGCCTAATTCAGTCGTTTTAGGCTGTGAGGTGTTATAGTACAAAAGTCTCATCAATTTTTAAGACAGGGTCGACTTTGAAGTATCGCAAAACTTAGATCTTACCGCTCTGACTTACTTCTGGTTTTCTGTAGCCCTTTAATGATTTTAGCACTAAAAAGCACTTGTTGTTAGCTTTGGTTTTTAAGAAGTAATTGGCAAAATTCGCAGAGCGTGAGATCTTTAAATCACAGTGATTTTAGTTGCTAAATTATTGTAAAGTCCCGCCCTCTTAAAATATTAAGTAGAACTCCTATTGTCCACAGTGGGTAGATTAGAAAGACGACATTGAAATGACGTGTGTGTTTATACAGGGTGTTCCACGAAACATGACAGTTGGTGAATAGTTTAGAATGTCATCTTCCATAATTTGTTAAGTTGATTTATACCAAGACAATAATAATAATATTAAATGGGAGTCATATTAAAGTAAACTTGATTTCAAAGTAAAATATTTTGGAGGAAAAGATTTTTTTAACGAAATAAACTACAAAAACCTTTAATATCCTAATACAGTGTATGAGGACGACATTCAATACTATTTATCAACTGTCCTTTTTCGTGGGACACCCTGCATTTGTTGTAGTTTTAAAGGCAACAATTACACCATGGCAAATACGTGAATTGGGACGGTGCAGACTGCACAATTGCGGGGTTTCATGTACATTAGATTATTTGAAATCATAATTTGAGTTTAAACTCTAAAGTCGTCTTCTTATTCTACAATTAACTGGTCCCCACTGTATACCTGTTGATAATTTCCCTCTGCAAAACCTCCTCGGTGGTCCTGAGCATCTCTTTCTTGTTGTCCAGCACCCTCTCCAAGTCCGTGATCTTATCCGTCTGAGAGTCCAGCTGGTCAGATAACAACGCAACCTGATGCAGGGTGTCCCAATAAACATGGAAATTAAGTGACGACTTTTATACCGTCTTAAATCCATAAAATAAAATAAATAAAAACAATATTTGTAGTATTCCAAGTACACATCTGATATCGAAAACGCCTGATCTTGAGATTTTCAAAATGAGGTTTATTATTTTTTGTATTTTCAAACTTGACAGAAATTTTATAAAATTTTTATACACATTTCAATTTATATAATTAATCAAAATTGTCTTTATATCTTATATCTTCGTCAAATTTTAAGACACGAATAAGGTTTAAACTACTTTTTGAACAGCTCGTAAGACTTACAGCCTCATTTCATATTTTCTTTGCAATACATTAAATATCAGAAATTAATTTTTAGGACCATCGAAACGATCAAAATGCTCTTTACCTGTAAAAGAAACGATCAAAACTATCAGAATGTTCTACCTGTAAATGAAACGATCAAAACGATCAAAATGCTCCACCTGTAAATGAAACGATCAAAGCGATCAAAATGCTCCACCTGTAAGTGAAGTTGATCCTTATCTCCCTCCAAGGCTAAAAGTCTTTCTTCTACTGAAGGATTGAGCGCAACCTAAAAGGAAATGAGGATATTTTGAGAACTTGAGAAGTATAAGTAGACAAAATGAATTCCAAGAAACAATATACTCCTGGACTGGACAGTCCAAATAATCAATCCGAACTTTTTGCCATTGCCACCATGACCATTATCCAAAGTTTTTAAAAAAGGAACTTTGTTTTGGCCACAAATTCTGATTTAAAAAAGGTATATCTTTGCAACCTGATAGTGTAAACCTTTGAAATTTTTTAAAATATCATAATTTGATCTAAAATGATTGATAGTTTGAAATATCTAAGGTCTCCGACATTAAAATGCAAAGATATAGGGATAAGAAAATCAGAGTTTGTGACAAATGCATCTTACTTGGGGTTATTACACACTACAATATTTATATTAAAAAATTATGTCTTTGCTGTTATCGTATTTGGGGAAGAGAATAAAAAAAAAATAGAGAGTGGGGAAGAATAAAAAATTGAATTATTTACACCCCTCACTGTGATTTAAAGGTCTCAAACTCTCAAAGCAAAAATCTATGAGAATTTTTCCAATTACTTCTTATCACCAGAGCCAACAACTTGCTTTCTAGTGCTAAAATATACGCATAAAGGGTTAAAGAAAAGAATAAGTGAGTTAGAGCGGTAAAATCAAAGCCTCAGGCGTTGCGACACTTCAAAGTCGACCCTGTCTTAAAAATTGATAAGACATTTTACAAGCAGCTGAATCTATGTGCCAAGATAAGAACATTCCCGTGGGTCTCCCGAGGTCCCCAATCAAAATTTGAGACAAATCGGTCAAGGGGTTCCTAAGTTATGATCGGACAAACAAACAGACAGACAAACAGAGAGTACAACTTTATATAAAAATATTTTCTGTGTAGTTTTGTTTTAACTAAGTTGTTGTGCAATATTTTACCCCTGACAAATTTTAAGATTTATCCAAGCTTAGGCACAAAAAAAATACTAATCCTAAAAAAAAGGTTCCGACATTGCTAAACTATAACTTTAAAAGCTAGGTTATAGTATAATTCTTTTTTTAATAAAAATGTGAAGTTAAAAACTGAAAAATTGGACTGCTGAAGAACTAGTTTTTGCGTAACAACAATAACAAAGGCAGCCGATCTAATGTAAACAAACAAGAGTTAGTATATGGTGAATCTTCATCTAACGCCAGAGATGCACCAGATGTCTGTTTATCATTTGTGTTATTGTTTACAATCTTTATTATTGTTGTTACGAAAAAACTAGTTCTTCAGCAGTCCAAAAACGTCACAGCAAAGTGACGGAAACCCAATCGCCCCCTCCTTATATTCAACTCTCCTTGAAATATTCTGAACTTCTTAAAATAGAAGTAAAAAAAATAGAAGTAAAAAAACTCAACAAAAACCGGCTCTAATTCATGTACAGTTACCTGCATATTCTGGGGAAGGTACATACACGCAGTACAGTAGTGGTTGCCAGGGTATCCTGAACTAGGGTACATAGAATAACAAGTTCTACAGCTGCTCCGAGGATCGTACGGTACAAGAGCCAAGTGGGAGGAGTGGTTAGAGTGCAGAGGAGACCTGAAATATTTAATTTGTTAAAAAAATATTTTTTCACACACTTTTGCGTTTAATATATTTCTAAAGCTCAGAAATACAAGAATTTATTAATGTTTTTTGTAAAAATGGAAATCTCTTTAGTAATTATGATGGTTTAAAAGCTGTAAACCTTCCAACTGCAATATAAAGAGAACCTTAAAAATTCTATAGTAATTATCTACTTTTTTTAATTAATCAAAAAGTCAGAAAATACTAATCCACCAAACTTGTATTGTTTCTCTTCCGCCATTTCTCGCACTATACTTTCTAAAGAGTTCACATTGCATTTAACATTAAAATCTAAACCCACTTTTTGAAGAGATACAGAGCGTCCCATATAATATTAGATTATCTCAAAGCTTTAACGCCAAAATAAACACTCGAAAAAACTATTTTTTTCGCAAGAATATTCTTAGACAATTTCCTTAATTTTTTTATTAGTCCCGCTAATCGTAATTTAGACCCACCATGACGATCTAATTTGATGTGGAATATCCTGTATTAAGAAGAAAAATATTGTCAATTGTAAAGTAAATGTTAGAGATGTCAACGTTTTGATTTTTCTAAATTTTAGCTTTCGTTACGATAGTGTTCATCAAAAGAATAAACGTTTAAAACGTTACGTTACACATTATGAAATTTTATGGCATAGAGTAACGTTATGTTATGAATTCTCTGCACTTGAATACCTTATACAACGTTAAGCTTTAGTAAATGTTAGTGAAAAACAGTAAGATCCGTTACGCTTTTGAATTTCCTGTTTTAACAAACTTGTCCAACGTTGCGTTAAAGCTTATGTAATATAACTACAATTTTTTAACGTTCCACTTTCATGTAAGGTAAATATTTTCAGAGACCTTACGTTACATTTTCACTTTGTTTAAGATCTAGAAGATAACAAACGTTTTGCTTTCATAAAACGTCAATTGGGGCATAGTTCTGTACGTTACAATGCATTTCAGTGCAAAGAATATTTTTTGTTAACGTTACGTTTTATCTTAACTTTTCTATCTATACGTTGCGTTGTATTAAAATGTTCAACCATTAATGTTTCTTACGTTACACTTTATTAAAATGATATTGTTTCTAAATGAAAGCATTGCAAGATTTTTTTCGTGATAATTACATTTTTTTACTCACCCTGTATGTTGCTATTGTATTGTTAACCTTTTTAGAGATTGTGTAAAAGAATATGCATTATGCAATATAAAGATGTTATAATATTATTATTTTGTTTGAAAATATTTTTTTTGTGCCTTACGGTGATTTCTCCTATATTAAATTGTCAATTCGCAACTCTATGGACGATTTTGAAATTTTTTTATTTAAAACGCAGCAACCTCAGGTGATTTCTAGCTGATTTCTAAAAAAAGTCACAAATCAATTACGCTTAATGTCCAGCATACATTTACAAGATAGGAAAACACTCTTAATTTTCAAATCATCAAAATCAGATAAAGGTATACACGTTATCATGGCCCTCTTAAAATAGGACACTTCATAAAATGAGTTAAAATTCGCAATGCAGACTGACCCTTTTCTTCTATCTAATAGAATTCATAGTTTGAAATATCTAAGGTCTACAACATTAGGTAGCAAAGATATAGGGAATAGAAATATAAGTTTGTGAACAACTCAATTTCTTTAGACATTCTTATATAATAGAAGTCATAGCTTGAAATATCAAAAGTCTAACACCAGCTTGCACAGATTAGAAAATTATAATTTGTGGCAACTTTTTAGTTCTTTTTGTGCTTTTTTATGTTACTTACAAAGTAAGTAAAAAAGCGGCATTAGCTTTAGTTTACAAACCACAATGAAAATGTTTTCAGAGTTCATGTTTGGGGTTAAAAATATCAAATATAGTAAGACAAGTGCTAAATTTTTTTAACACAAACAACGCGAAATAAAATTATTTAACATTTTTTTCTTTAAAAATTCGATGAAACAAAACCAGTTTTTTTCTATTCTAAAGTTTCATAAATATCTATTGATGAATAAAACATAACACGCATTTTCCATTTGCTGAAATATTGTTGCATTTTAGTAAGTATCTACATTTCTAAATTTTTCAACCTAAAACATGAACCATGCCAACTGAATTTATGATTTCAAGTAGTCAAATAAACCTGAAACCCTGCAATTATGTTTGTTCACAGACTGGTTCCACTTAATAAGTTGATTTTTTTGCAATTAGAAAATCATTTGCTTTATAACAGAAAATGCATATGTAAAATTTCTTAATGTCGTCTTCCTTTTCCAGAGTTTTAGTGGGTTTCATCAAACAATGGCAAATCAAAAACCTTTGAATTTTCACTAATAGCATGTTAAAAAAAAATTCGTTTACACTTTAGAAAGGAACTAAGTTTTTTTCAAATTTACTTATCCCTATATCTTTCCAACCGGATGGTTTAAACCTTGTATATTTCAATATTAATGGTCTACGACATCGGGTTGCAAAGATATATTAAATGAAAATTAGAGTTTGTGGCATTAACTCATTTTCTTTAAACTTGAAATGAAAAACCATTAGTCTTTGCTGTCAAATCATCAGTCGAATCTCTAACATTGATATATTAGAGACGTTTTGAAATGTTTTGATTGGGAGAATTATTGTTAAACTTTTGAAATTAAAACTCAGCTCTCATAGTAACGTTTATTGAACAATATTTTCATCAGACATATATCTAACGTTAGACTAATCAATTTAGTATTCAGAGAAAAGTTATGAAACGTTTTGATTTACAGAATACCATTTTTTTAATGTTATTCGTTACATTATTGAAATTTTGCTCTGTAAAAAAAAACTTTCGTTTCCTGATTATAAAAATAATAAAATATTTCTGCAACGTTGAATTTTTCATTATATTATAAGGGAAAACGTTTTAAAACGTTTTCATAAACAGTGATGCATTTTTCAGTTACACAACGTTACACTTTTTATTAGTTGAACTTTGAAATAGAAATCCTTTCGTTACGATATTCAATCAAATCACAATTAATGTTTCAAACGTTAGACTTTCAAGTTCCCTATGAAAACAAAACATTTCTTAACGTTATGGGCAAAAAAGTTGTAGATATTAGAAAAATAACGTTACATTTCCACTAAACACTAACGTTAGGAGTATGTTCCTCTAACGTTAACGTTAGGTATGAGCTTCTATAACGTGAACGTTTAACGTTCACGTTATATAGAATATATCCAAACGTTACACATTATTGTAACGTAACGTACAAAAACGTTCATTTTACGTTACGTTACACTTTTGTTGACATCTCTAGTAAATGTCACTGAATAAATGTAAAATCAAAACCAGAAGAGCTCCGAGGTCATAATGTCGGACTAATGATAAAATATAAATTTGACTTTCTCCTTCTGTCCACTATAGTTTCAGTAGAAGTAAATATTTCCATTTACTGATAGCGCCGATTGAAGGATTCATAACTCTGATTGGACGAGATAGATAGAAAGATAGATGTTACCGCCATACTATTTCTGTTGGTTCAGAATAGACAACAAACACATGACTAAACCCTGATTGGATCAGGCGCTAATGGACTCGGAAGACATGTCTAGTTTGCATGGTGACACCTTTAAAGGGACTGTAAGTGTAATTTCACTTGACTCTTCTTGCCAAGTTGGTAATGTACGATTCACAACTGTACCCTTAAAAGTTTTGGTTTATCAAGTATGAATTAAAAATTAATGTTTATAATTTTGAAAACTATTTAAAATTGGAGTTTCTCTAAAAATGTGACTTGCGCATTTCTTATGAAGAAAAACATTCAGGAATTATGAGAAATAAACACTTTCAACATCCAGAAACGACAATATCTTCCATATTATTGATCATATAAAGGTTTCAAGGGTACCGTTGTGAATCTAGTATTGCATGGAGTGCCACTTGAAATTACGCTTACAGACCAGTCCCTTTAGGAGCGAAAATTTTTTCGTTTTTTAAAAGTTCAAAACCAGTCGTTGTGACCCATCGCTTACCGATCGTTTTGGACAACAATTAACAACCTGACCTGCAGCTATGGTTGGATATAAAATCATTCATAGAGTCAGCTCCAGAATCCTCCTCCTCGTCAGTCAACCTGCTCGTGGTTCGGTGCGGAGATCTGAACTCCCGGGCGGAGAAATCCTTGTAATCCCGTCGGTTCGGCGATTGAACCCGCCGTCGGAGTCCAGGTTTCCCAGAGAGATCCTGCGTGGCGGGGGACGGAGACTTATATCTGGAAAAGATAGAAAAATATGAAAACACATATTTTATAAAAGTTTTACATTTTTTACATGATAACCAGTTTGCTGTCCATTTTGGATCTGTAGGTCATTGAGTAAGTTTTGTAATCCTTCAAATCAAATCAAATCATTCTTTGCAGGGATTACTTGAGGCATCCTTACTTTGATCAGGAGTTTCAATTCCCTCTCAGATTAAATGGAAACACACTTAACTTTACAAAATAAAATCAAAGAAAAAAAACAAACAAAGACTAGGCTTTATAAAACAAAAACAAAAAAGGGAATAGAAAATCAGAGTTTGTGGCAAAGACTCAATTTCTTTGCCGTAATTTTAGGAACCCTGATAAAGCGATCATTTGCGTAGTAGATCCAATCAATACTCTTTATCACATATTTATGTCATTTTGTAAATATTACCCAAATTCCCTCTAATTATCGAATTTATCGAATTTATCGAGTTTAATCTAGTTTTAATGAGATCAATATGGAATTGTGTGGGGTCAGCGGTTTTTTTATATTTAAGAAGTTTAAAGACGTGTAACAATATAGTTCACCCCGCCTTTTCTGTTATCTAAAACGCGATCGGTAAACCACATCCTATGTACACTAGACGGGCCGGTACGGGTACGGATCACGCTTCTTTTAATCCTATGTGATAAAAAATTCTTATGAAAATAGTTCGAATTTTGAAAAGAAAAAACTCGATTTTGAAAGAAAAAAAATCGATTTAAAAATATTATATTTAAAAAATTTCTCATGTTACCCCAAGGGTATCTATGGGTTTCCTCAATTCAATTTTAGCCGATTCGGTCCAGCCGTTTGGTCAGCTATAGCTTACATATATATAAACATACAAATATATACATACATATACATATGAGCTAAGAGAATTATTATATAGAATGTTAATACAAATTTGAAAACTCTTATTTTTAGGACAGAAAAGGTAGGGTAAAAATTTCACAAATATGTGTTTTCAAATAATTTCATTTAAGATATGAATGACGTCATTCGCCATGAATTTTAGGCTTTTCATTCACACTACATCTCAGCTGCCGGCACTATACAGAGTTACCCACAAAAAATGAGACTAAAGTCGGCTTGAAACTCTTCAAATATGACGATCTTTGAATGACTTGGGCACTGAAAGAAACAAGTTTACGGTTGCAGGGAATCATGAATATGAGAAAATAGATAATATTAGTTCCGTACAGGAGTAAATAAACTCTTATCCTTTAATGGATAACCGGTATTGCATGTACAAGGAATGTACCTGTTATGTACATTAGTTGAAGGTAGAGGTGGAGGAGGATGGCAGGGTGGTGGGGGATGGTTAAAATGAGCCTTAAGAAAATGTTTTTAAAATTTAAAGAATTATTTTAAAAACTAGTCAAAAATTATAATACTTCAAATTAAAATAAGTGAAAAAGAATCTCGGAAACATAAGAATCTCTTTTAAAAAATTATTAAAATGATTTAAAGATAACTGATTGATTTTCCACTAGTGAAATATTATGAAATAGGAAATCAACCTTTTGAAAGTTTTTTAGAATCATAAAATTGATTTGAACTTTTACTGTCTAAAACACTCAATTTAAATGATTCACTGGACCCTGTAAGTTTTCGTTGCTAGATTTTAAACTATTTTTGAGAACCCCTGTATTATATTTGATTAAAACCTGATTAGTTGGGTTGAACTGTGGTCCTGCTGACATCCTATAGTGTTGTTCTAGAACCTTCTTTCTGCTCCTCTCCAGGCTCCCATCTCTGCTCCCCTGATCCAGGCCCCTCCTCCTGCTCCTTTCCAGGCTCCCCTCCCTGCTCCCGCACTCAGCTAGTCTTGGACTAGTCATTATCATCATTATCATCATTATCATCATTATCATCATTATCATCATTATCATCCTTATCATCATTATCATCATTATCATCATGAAAATACCTCATCATCAGTTCTCTGCTTCTCCTATGAATTCGTTCCAACTCTTTCTCCCGTTCCTTTATCCGTTCATATTCTCCTCCGTCCGTCTCTCTTCTCTCTCCGTCCCGTCTCTCGGAGTCTCGATCTTTGCTGCGGGGTTTTCTCTGACTTCCAGATTTATTCCTTTGCTTATCTCTGAACCGATATTCCAGTTTAAATAGTTCTATATTAGATACTAGTGATTTTATAGTGAAGTGGGTTGACTTTTATATTGAAATCTGCATGAATAGCTGGGTTCCCAAGTTTGTAAATTATAACTAACTGAAAAGATTATTTAAATTATTGTAGATGAAAAAAAGTTCTGAACAGCAAGAATTTAATTAAATAGATATGGCTAACTAAACTACTTGTGTATAGCACAGTCAGTCACTTAAGAGAAGAGTTTAATTAGTCACACCTAGTTCAACAACTTCTCGCTGAATAACTTAAGCTCTGATACAGATGATGACTTAAAAGAACTGAGGCCGAATTTAAAGAATTTGAGCCGCGGTTTAAATTTAAGCCGAGGCTCAAATATGGTTTGTTCCACTTAAATTTGTATTAAATTTTTCAAGATTTAAGCCGGCGGTCAATTAACACCGCTTTTTGGGGGATTTGAGACATGGCTTAAATTCATTAAATTCGGACACTGAACGCTTAATTTCAACTAAACCTTTAAGCAAAGAATGCAATTCCCGATTCACAACGGTACCCTTAAAAGCTTTGTCTGTTCAAGTATGAATTATAAGTATAAATTTGTATAATTTAAGAAAATGATTATTTTAATTTTAAAATTCGGTGATGGTAATGGACCAAACCTCTGTAGAGTAAAAAAAGTAAATGTTAGTTCCACATTTACGGAAAATATTTTTTTTGTTTGGGTTGACCCTCGTCAGTTCTTGAGATTGTTTCTGTCACAAAGATTAAAAAAAATTAAAAAAATTATTTTAAATTGTGATTTCTCTAAAGAAGTGACTAGCGCAGATTTGATAAGCGACATAATCTTACACATCATTGGATCAGATAATGGTCTCCCTATAAGCAGTTTGTAGCAAAATAAAAATGTTTACTGACTGAATAAATAGGTATTTTTTTAATGTGATTAGATCTTTAAATGAATGGGATCATATCTAATTGATTAGGTTTGTATCTGAATAAATTGGTTTAAATCTTTAAATGAATGGAATCATATCTAATTGATAAGGTTTGCATCTGAATAAACTGGGTTAGATCTTTATATGAATGGGATCATATCTAATTGATTAGGTTTATATCTGAATAAATTGGTTTAAATCTTTATATGAATGGGACCATATCTAATTAAAAAGGTTTATATCTGAATAAATTGGTTTAAATCTTTACATGAATGGGATCATATCTAATTGATTAGGTTTATTCTGAATAAATTGGTTTAAATCTTTAAATGAATGGAATCATATCTAATTGATTAGGTTTATATCTGAATAAATTGGTTTAAATCTTTAAACGAATGGGATCTTATCTAAATAAATATGTTTAGATCTGAATAAATAGGATTATCTCTAAATAAATAGTTATATATCTAAATAAATAGTTATATATCTAAATCAATAGTTATAATAGGTTTATGTCAAAATGAATAGTTATAAATCTAAATGAATAGGTTTAGTAAAATATCTAAATGAATACTTATATACTTAAATAATATTAGCTTATGCGCGGAAATGTAAACAATCCTTTAAACTAAATTTAGAACATATATATCCGTGTTTCTAACAAGTTGATCAGTCAAAACTTGAGACAAATCGGTCAAGAGTTATTATTGGGCATACTATTAAACAGACAGAGATTACTATACTTTATATGAATAGAGATGAAAAGGTTTAGCTTTTGATAAAGATATTTCTATTTAAATGAATAGGTTCACATCTAATACAGTGATAGCCATTAAAGTGTGGAATGGGAGACGACATTCTAGGAATCCTTTTTGTATTTTATGTTGTTTTAAAGCAAATATTTGTGTTTAATGTTCACGTCTAAATAAAGGCATAACTTGAGGCTAGCACAGTCGTTTAGCACAGCTTCGTCTCTACCTGTTCCACAGTTTAATTGGTCCCACTGTACACCTAGATCTAACATTGAGAAACTTTTTAAAAAATAACTCATGAATTCCAAAACTGGTTTATTTTCCTTCTGGCAGGCAGGGCTGGTTTCTCTTCATCTTCTCCTCTATCTACTAGGTTGACGTAGGAGTGGATCATTCCTCCGTCGGACCACTCCTCCACAGGGTGTACTCCCCTCCGGGGGGCGGAGTAAACCTCACTGGAGTCCTCGTCTATATCACTGGACATTACTGGGGACTCCCGCCACCTTTATACCTGCCCAGGAGTTATAAAAGTACTCCCAGTCTTTATTTAGAGTTGTTTTATTTATCTTTTTATGAATTTTATTTTGAAGTTTCACATCACCGTAGGTCTCTACACTGAGCTTTACTCTATATATAACTATTATTTGAATGGAGCTAATTCCCAGAGTAAGAACTGCGTCCGCCCAGCTAGTCAGCCTCCTTAGCCTCGCCAGCTCAGCTACCCGGTCTGGTTTAATCAGTTCCTCGGCCTCCTGAGCCCCGCTAGCTCGACTACTCGGCCAAGCCAGCTCAGCTTCTCGGCCCGACCTGCTCATCTTCTCGGCCCGGTTCGACCGGCTGGCCGGATGCCAGGGCAGGGTGATGGGGCTCACACACAAACACACGAATAAAACAAACAGACGAAAACTAACAAACGCCGGTTAACTTATCCTGCATCTTATCAGTCAAATACGTAGTTAGGCTTTCTCTATATATATATATATATATGTCTTGTTTTATTAAATAGATAATCGAATTAGATAATAAATATCAATGTTTGTAATTTTTAGAAATAGTGTTGTTAAATTGACAATTGTGGTATCTATTCAAAAGTGAATTTCTACTGGAGGAAAACATATAAGAATTATCAGAATTAGGCACTTTTAAAACACGATGATATCTATTATATTATTTTGAGATAAAGGATTAGGGGTACCGTTGTGAATCGGACATTGCCTTCTTTGCATAAATGGTTTTTGCAAAGCTTAAAAAACAAATTTGTGCATGCAAAAAAAGATCAAATGAATGTCTTGATGTCAGCTCTGAATCTGAAGATGTATTCCTGATGAATGAAACAAGAAAAACTTGTGAAATTTCAATAAATGAGTTACAACAATTTTATTGCTATTAAAGATGCTTTATTTTGATCGTAGACGTCTTTTTTTTCGGTAACCCCGTAGTTTGATAAAACATCTAGCTTTCAAAACTATACCTGACTATTATAGCTATTGAGTCTAAACACTATAATACAGACACAGGGAAAGTATTTTAACTGCTTTAAACAGCAGTTACCCTACAAGGCTATACAAGATTAACTAAAATTAACATTTTTGTGAGCTTTAAAAAATCATCCAAACATTAAATTCAATAGTACTCTGATTTTGTCAAACTTTATAGTCAAAATTGCACTTTCATGCTTGATACTTAAACAAAAATACTGCAAGTTTTAAAGGTTACACAATACTTTGGATTAAAAAACTGACTTTAATATAACGTTAGATCAAGACATTATTTTTGTTAAACAAAAGTTTTTTTCGCTATGATGAAGTATTTTCAAGATGAAAAAAATTAATTTTATCATCTGTAACTTTATCGCTGTAACGTAACAACTTTTATGTTTTTCAATATTCATTGCGTTTTGGCTTTCAAACATGTATACCGTTTCTGTTTGATTTTTAATGTTTACATAGCTCTTTATATTAACTTTCAAATATATACCTAGCTTTTTAAATTTCAAATATGTAGATATTTAGCTTTTAATTTTTTAAACATCCAAAATGGCTCTTTTGATATAAAAACGGGTTAAAGAATACTGAGAATTATAAGCGCAGCCAAGCGTGCGAGTTCTCCTTCCATTTCATCCTATAACAAGAGGGGGGCACATTGGGGCGGTCAACCCCCCCTCCCAGTTCGGCCCTAACTTGTATGCTAAAAATGTTATTGATGTATTTTATTTTAAATTTCTTAACCTTATATTGGTTTTTCGACATATGCCAAAATAATTATTTCGCCACTAAAGTCAATTAGTAATTATATGTTAAATCTCATAGCATAAGTTGGAAGAATTTAAATTGTAATTTTTGGACTATAAAAAGCATGGTTCCCAGCAAGATATTTCACTTTCACTGTTAAAGTTGAACACTTTTAAATTGACGAAATAAGTTCAAATCTGTCTTAAATACAATCTTTTTTTAAAAAATCCCGAAAATTCACAAAAGATATATGAGTAAAATTGCAGTTTAGATTTAAATCAGAGATCTTAGAGGAAGGTTTTAAAAGTTCTCAGATGTTGTCTCACAACAAATAAAGACGTCTCTCTTTTTGATTTATTTTGTTCTCATGAATAAAGTTTACATGGTTTCATAAAGAAATGTATTAAAAAATCTATTAAACAAAATAATGATCACCATGAACAATCTTATTGGTTGGCAAGATGTTTCAGCCGTAGGACTTTGTACAGCAGTGCAGTTTCTCTAAGCGAGGAATATTTATGTAGTTCTCCATGATCAACCTTCTTAAAGATGTCAGGGTGTTCTGTTTTTCAGATAGACACAATTTTGAGACAGATTCGGTTTAATATCTGTCTGTTGCAAAATAATTTATCCTTCATCTTTGCATCTTGGATCTTGGATTCCGCTATCTCAGCAACTAATTAGTTCCAATGAAATTTGTTAAACTTATAATTGCTCTGTATATCCTGGGGAGGCATCTAAATTTGCACACCACTTCCTCAATGTGCTTTCGTATGGTAAACTGTTGTGAAACACTTCTCTTAGATATCTAAACATAAACACATATCAATACTCAAAGTACACAAAATATCTTAGGTTACACTGTTTTCTATTTAAACAACTCTTGTCCATTTTTATTTTTCTCTAAGGTTTTTTATAAGTGGGGACGTGGGACGCCCCCCCCCCCAGTCTATAGATAGATTCAGACCCCCAAGCCTCTATAGAACTTTTCAAGAAGGCTGGGACATCCAGGCCAGCCCCTACCCCCCTAAAATTTACAATTTTATCTCATATTTTGGATATTTTGTAAAAGGATGAAAGGATAACTCAGCGTCGCCATTAGAGGGGGGGGGGCACGTGACCCCCTCCTACCTTATTATATTTATCCCCTAGTTCATCTTCCCCCCTCATGCCCTGGACTAATTGTAATCAAATTGCAGACCATTTTTATAAAATTATGCTAATTTGAAAATATAAATATTAATTTTCTTTGAAATCTGGTATATGTCAAACCTTTTATTACCTTCTCTTTAACAATTTAATATCAGGGGATGCATAGTTATGTTCTGCCATGATCTGTGTAGAGGTAACTGAGACTCCTGAGACTGGCCTTGGCAAAAACACTGTGGGTTTAGCGGATTTCTTTAATTTTTTAATTGTCAACTGTTTACATACCCCGGATCTGTGTACACTGTATGCCGCAACTATCATTTATCCAATGTACTGTATGTCACTACATGATCTATACATACAGGGTGTCCCCCGAAACATGACATCTAATAAACAGCTATTTTTAGTTAAACAAATCTTTTGCTAATTATATCTTACTACTTACTACTAATTTTGATATAACATGACTCCCATATAATATTTTTATTGATCTTTGGTATCAAACACCTGAACAAATTATGGAAAAAGACATTCTAAACTATTCACCAACTGTCATGTTTCGTGGGACACCCTGAATAACACCGATTCCCTTCTGTCCCTGAGCCCGTTTCTCTATAGAAAGTGGTCGTGTATTTCACGTGCTTTGGGGGACGATATTTTGGCCGCTAGATGTCTTATGCTTAATTCTAATCTGATAGATAGATATTTCTCCGTACATTTGACGACCAAAATAGGAGACGTCAAGTTGTCGACCAATGTAGTTTATGGAAGGAACGGCCTCTGATCCCTGTCCTTATTGCAAAGACGACTGATTACACCCCTTGCGTAAACTGTAATTTTTCAAGCTTTAACCAAACAAAACCCATAGTTTAAATTTTCAAATGTCACTCACACCACACAAATATTATATAAATCAATCATATTCTTAACTTTTACACAAACTTTCATGTTGCGTTTGACACTCTAAAGTTTAAGCTTTCCCGAACTTTTTTAGTGATTCCCCTTTATTATCTCCAGGTCCTCTGTTATCTTTGAGAAAAGAGAGAGAGACTTGAAATGCAGGTTGATGACAGATTCCTGTCTCCAGTTCTAGTTTGAACCTGAAACCTGGAGAATGAAACTAAACCCGTTCCTTCATCTCTCTTTATCCGTCCTGCTCTATAATGGGGCAGTGGCGGAAATACAGGAAACTATTTCATTAAGATAAAAATCAAGGTTTCTTATTTTGTCGGCATATACATATATTAATACAAAATCTTTTTCTGAAATGGTGATATAACATATATATATTTCAATATATATACATGTATATATATACAAATGAATTAGTATGAACTGAAATAGTATTTTATCACCATTTCAGTAAACCGATATATGCTGCAACCATTGAGGACCATTAAGGACGCCCAAAAGAATGACATACATGATGAAATGTAAAAAATGTACACCTTTTATATTTTTTAGTTGAAATATTAACTCTTGTTTGTGTGTTTCTTTATTTATGAATTCTGTTTATTGGGTTTAAGTATCATCTTATTAGGATGAAAAAATGAAATATATTGGTTTAGTATTCGATTGAAACAAACTGGAATGGAAAGCCGGTAAGTACACTACATGTCTAACAACTGTAAGGTTTAAAATGTAGTTCCTCAAAAGTTTTTTTATGCATTGGATATTTTTTTTATAGTAATTTTTTAGTGTTGCTTAATTTACAATTTGTATTGGAACATTCATGACTAAACACACAACTGAATTCCAGCAAATACAGGAAATATGCAGTTTCTAAACATTATTAATAAAAAGTGAATCATTAAAGAAAATGACGAATTTCAGCCTTGAGGTCAAGGATGTAATGCAAGGAAAGTTATTTAAGAAGTTTCCGAATCTTTTGTACAGCAGTGTACTGTCTCTGGGCGGTAATGTAAACACAAGACGGATTCCATTTTCACAAAAATAATCTATGAAATATTCTGGTCATAGGAAACTATTATGTGAATTATCAAAATTATCAAATTTTAACCTCCTCGGATATTAAACGAACACTGATGCATCTATTCTTGTTTACAAATTCCATCTGGTTTTAATATGTACGCAGAGTATACGCGACCGCAATTAACTTTCCTTGCATTACACCCTTGCTTGAGGTTATCTGATAATTTGTACACAACGAACCTTCCCAGCAGAATCCAGATTACGGTTATACGCTAGGGTGAGACAAGTTCACACTGGTGGGGTTGTTAAAAAAAACGAACATGGGAGAAGGATTTGGCTCGTTCATAGAGAAATGAACGATTAATTGAACAAACGAATTTTCCAAAATCTCCAATACAATTTTAAAAGGAAAGTTCGTTTAACTGAAAATGTTTTAGAACAAACTTTTGAAAAAACGAAAATTCTTTCTCTGAACAAACTATTTTATTAAGCAAACAATTTTACTAAACAACCAAATTTATTGAACGAACGCTTCTACTGATAGATCGTTTCGTGAGAAAACGAGAGAAATAGTTAGAAAATGAAAGACAATTTTGAGAAAAAACGAAATAAATTTGTTAACGATAAAAAAAACGAAATGTGTCGTTCATGTACGAGAAACGAACAAAATAAAAAAAACTAAATGCGCCAATCTTTAACTGTACTGTGTTGCACTGTTAGATACATATTTTCATCTACACACGTGATACACCACTTTCCCCATCGAACCTTCAGAGCTGAAACTTAAGAAACTTAAGTTAGGAAAATCAATTTTAGGACCCGGGTTTCACAAATGGGGTTAGGCAGTTTTGTAGATATCACTATTTTTGTTATGAAATATCATTTTATTTAGAATCTTCATACTCTCCATTTTTTTCGCATCGGTTACATAAAAATTACATAAATGTTAAGACCCCAAAAAGTAAACTCATCAGTTTTGTTCTACGATACTCTTTTAAATTTCGGGCTCTGGTGTTACCCACAATTATGATGACTTCAATGACGACCAAAAACTTTTGAAATATGATGATATGAAGGGGAAATTTTGTCTTCAGTCTTAACTGTAAAGTCTTTGGAAAGAAACAAGTAAAAAGTTGAGAAAACAAACCAGCTTGTCGGTACATCCTCACCCTGTAAAAGTAAATACTGTGCATGTACTGTACATGTTTATACATATTTCTAGGTCGTTCATCCAGCAGCTAATTTAACCCTCTCAGTCGGACCAACAAATGACACTTTCACCATTCATGTTCAGGTTGTCAAGAGTTAAATTAACATAAATAGTTAGTTCGATTTCAATTTTTGATAATTTATTTTTCTATTTTAAAACATGACATTTTGTTTAGGCGGCATACTTTGGCTCACCCGAAATTCCAGGTCAGTGTAAACTGTAATTGCACTGTAGTGTACACTGTACACTATACTGTACACGCTTGAATTTAGTAGATTTTATCTTTTATTTTTCGTATATTACAAAGATTATAAATAATTTTACTCAGATTGTGAGGCTGGATACCCATACGATGCATTATACAATTTTGAGGTAAGATACATTTTAAATAATACATGTCAACTGGTTCTTGCAAGCTCAATTCCATCCTTTCATCTCATAAGTCAAAAGTAGATTTAACCAAACAAAAAAATTCAAAATCTTTAAATTTCATAACCCATGAGACATAATTTTTAATATTTTTTAAACATGAAACCATTCTGAGTAAAATTTGTGTTTCTATAGATTTACCTTTTTGGTCCATTAAGGGATTGACGGTGAAAATCAAAAGTGAATTAATTTACAACTATACCCTTTAAATATTCATCTAATGAAGAATGTGGAAGATTATGTCACTATTCTAGCTTGAAAAGAGTTTAATTCTGAATATCTTCCATTGTTTCTATGGCAGAAATCAGCGTCATTTTTATTTAGAACCTAGAATTGAAAATAATCATTTTTAAAAGTTAAACACCAGGATATCTCATCCATTCGTATTCATACAAAGTTGTTAGGGTACCGGTATGAAACATGCAAATGATGCAATGGACGGTTACTTGTATATTACTGACTACAGTCCCATTTTTCAATCAAATAATTGTTTCCAGGTGGTTGAAACGTTCTTTCTTTGCTCTGAGAGCAATGAATATGTAGAACTAGAGTTTGCTCCGTGTGGGGCCCATCTTGTCCTCCTGCTCTACCCAACTAGGTTATAATTTAGCTCTTTCATAGAGAATCTTTGTTAAAATAAAAAATGTTCTATAAAATTCCATAAAAATTCGTCTTTGACGAATTTTATGTCGTCTTCTGCCAATTTAAAATCATCACTAACAAATATAAAATCTGTACTACTATACAATGAGAGCAATAAAACTGTGGAATAGGGGGACGACTTTTAGACTCCAAATATTACTTTAAATAATCCAATGAACAGTAACTGTGAGAAGGAAACAGATCCATTTACGAAGTGAATCCATAAGATACAAGTAAAACTAATTGCTTTGTTACAACTTTTAATACACTAAATTATTGCATTGATGTCGTCTTCACATTCCACAGTTTTCGGTTTCTCACTGTAGATATTTCAAAATTGTTGCTAAGTAATCAATGAAACTACAGTGATAACCAGAAAACTCTAGAATAGGAAGTTAACGTAAGTTAAGACTTTAAATAGTCCAATGAACACGAGGCACAGCAAATGTGCAGTATAAACAAACCAATTTTACTTAATAAGTCAAATAACTTACTTGAAAAGCTATTTGCTTTGTAACATCATCAAATGCATTTTAGCATTGCTATAATGTCGTCTTTCTATTCTTCAGTTTTATAGTTATCCCAATATCTCAAATCTAAAACGTTTGAATCCATGTTAAAATCGCAAGAAAAAATCTGTTTTAACACAGCTAAAAATAATCCACAACCAAAAATCAAAATTGTTTTTATCCAAATTTAAGAAGTAGTTAAGTCCCGACTAAAATATAAAATATTATATTCAGAAATGCATTAGTTGAGTATCTACCTCTGGAATTTACTGCTCAGATTGACCGCCAAGCAGGAGTATGGATTGGAGATGTAATTGTACCAACATCATTCCTTCCTGCAGATGTAAACAGGTATATAATGTACAGTGTACATTGTAAAGTACATAAAGGTCTAGTGCACATTTTTATTACAGTATACAGTACATTAGAGATGGAATTTAAAGAATTTTAGCCGCGGTTTAAATCTGCCAAAACCCGGTTTAAATTAAGCGCCGGCTTAAATCTTGAAACATTTGATACAATTTCAAGTGGAACCAACACTATTTAAGCCACGGCTTAAATTTAAACCGCTGCTCAAATTCTTTAAATTCGGCCACTGGGAGAATTTGGTATAGACTTTAAGCGGAGAATTAAAATTTCTTAAAATTTATTTATCACAAAATTGACCAACTCCAAGTTAAAGATAAAAATGTGAATTCTTGAAATCTAATAGCAGTAGTGGGCACTGGGCAGCTTACAATAAAGAAACCCATTTAAACTTAAAGTAAAATCTTTTTTTAGATTTAATGCGTTTGCCATTCATTCTGGAACCCCAGAGGAACAGGTCCAACATTGTTACACTACATTAGCCGGCCAACACAGGTAGGGTTGTTAAAATCGCTTTTAAAAAGGATTTTCGTTTAGTTTTTATTTTTTTTTCTAACGACGATCGTTTCGTTTTTGGAAATAAAAACTATGGTTTTTGAAAACGAACCACTCGTTTGGAACTTTCTAAAAACGAAAAACTAGCGTTTTTAAAAAACGATAGTTTTTTAAAAGTTAGTTTTTAGAAAATGTTGCTAAGGAATCTGAGCTTTATGACAATAAATTTCCATTTTTTCTGGAAGATAAGGCTATAAATGTTATTTTAAATGTTTTTTTTAGCGAGAAAAATAACCTGAATGTTTTGTGATCTCAGATTTTCAGACCAAAAAATGTAATTTCTCTTTAAAAGGTTGTTTACGATCTTTAACGAAGGGTGGTCATTAACGGTCGTTAACGAAAGGTCGTTTTCAAAACTATCGTTTTAAAAAATGATCGTTTTTAAAACCGAAAAACGGTCATTATTGAGAACACAGGTACATTAGCCGGCCAACACAGGTACAACATTATTTTATTCTTACCCCTTGGCTCCCTGATTGAAACCGCAAACAGAGTTGATTGATAGTATAGTGTTTAAATAACTTCAAAAGCAAAGTTTAAAAAATTTTTAAATCAAATGTTATTTGAAAGTATACGTGATTCACCTTATTCTTATGATTTAAACAGTAAATATTCTTTTTTAGTTATTAAGGCATGAGTTTCAGGTATAAAATAAAATTGATATGGATATGTCCGACATCTTTGATCAGTCAAAGGTGTATAAGGGTACCGTTGTGGTACGGTAGCACATAAATTAAGTCTCATCAATTTTTATGAAAGAGTCGACTTTAAAGTGTCGCTAAGCCTTGGGCTTTGATTTAACCGCTCTCACTCACTTATGCTTTTCTGTAGCCCTTTACATGTAGATTTTAGCACCATAAAGCACTTGTTGTTAGCTTTGGGTGTTAAGAAGTAATTGGCAAAATTCTCATCGATTATTGCTTGAGGCATTAAATGAAAGTTTACTTGAAATTACGTTAACAGTCCCTTTAATTTCTTGTTTTCCTAAGGTTTGGTTGAACAGTCCCTTTAATTTTTTGTTTTCCTAAGGTTTGGTTGAACAGTCCCTTTAATTTCTTGTTTTCCTAAGGTTTGGTTGAACAGTCCCTTTAATTTCTTGTTTTCCTAAGGGTTGGTTGAACAGTCCCTTTAATTTCTTGTTTTCCTAAGGTTTGGTTGAACAGTCCCTTTAATTTCTTGTTTTCCTAAGGTTTGGTTGAACAGTCCCTTTAATTTCCTTTTTTCCTAAGGTTTGGTTGAATGGTCCCTTTAATTTCTTGTTTTCCTAAAGTTTGGTTGAACAGTCCTTTAATTTCTTGTTTTCCTAAGGTTTGGTTGAGAACGAATGAATTAACACAAATGTTAAACATTAAAGTCAGGTAAACTTTAAAATCACAAATTCAAAAGTTTTACTCTTTTTAAATCTTTTTTTTCATGAAGACAAGAGAAGGTTGCCTCTAGAGCTAATTTCACAAACTGCGACAGTCTTTATGGTTCAGAAGAAATGTAATTATTTCATTAATTAAATTTTGTAATATTTTTTTTATTTTTTACATATCTACATAATAATATTTAATAATAACATATCTACATAATAATATCTAATAATAACTATAATTAGCAAAAAAATAATAAATTAATAAGTATAATACTAATGATTATAATAATTAAAATAATTTAATTAATAGAAATGATTAGTTACTACATTTACACTGTAATATGTGACTTAAAACATATTGGATCAACTTTAGACATTCTTTAGATAATGAATATTTAACAATGATGTTATTTATAAACTTTGATTTGCATTCTTTTCTTTTTTCAAATAACAAATAACTTTTGTTTCATTACATGTGTTTAAAAAAAATTTAGTTTTCAGTTATTAATTTTGTTGGTTATATATTGGTAGAACTAATATTTCCCACAAGCAAAACTGGAGTTGCCTTTATATAGTTTAGTGCTTCAGAATATAACTTCGTAATCTATTCAATTGATTACTTCGTAGGCATGATAACAGTGTTGGAGTCCAGGTTTACTTGGCTGCAGAGGACGGGTTGTATCTCCAGGTTATCCTAGGATACACACCAGCTAACTCAAGCTCAAGCTCCCAGGTAGGCCATGCAGAGGACGGGTTGTATCTCCAGGTTATCCCAGGGTAAACAACAATTAACTCAAGGACCTGCAAGGTTTTTACCTTCGGAGTGAGGTTTATGTTTAAGACCAAATTAAAGATATTTTCAAGTTTCAAAAGACATCCATTCTTAATGATTAAAGACTAGATTTTAATTTGGTTTGGTTTATAGGATAAAAGTGAATGTGTTTCTGCCAGTTTTCTTCAAGGAAACGGAAACTTACTAGAAAGAAGGTAGATTATTACACATTCATTGTAACTTCACATTTTAGAAAAATGGAGAGACATAAAATCAAAATTGTAATTTCAAAAAAGCCCAAAATAATTCTGTTTTGAATAGCCGAATGGAAATACTGTTTTATGCACAAATGTAAAAGTTTAAAGGAAACAGTCGCATAAATGTTAACATGTCCCTCTAATTCATTAAGAATTAAAGAAGTGGAAACCCGTGAAGTTTGTAATTTTTTTTTTAAAGATTTGGAAGTGATGGAGAAAACGTGAATTACACGGAGTCCATGGAGGTTTTAGATGATAAAATGGTAAAAACAGTAATATGAAACAAACAACGAAATGATTGTTGTCTTATATCTTTTTAATTGATAAAATGTTTGAATTTTTTACTGTGAAACCTCTGCAAAACCGATTTTACGTTAGAAAGCGCCCAGTTTTGAAATGTAATAATACTATAATTTTTACTTATATCCCTTTCAAAATACTTGAAATATTTTGAAAGGAATTGAGTCTTTGCCACAAACACAAATTTTCTAATTATAGATGTAAACCATTGATATTTGAAACTTAGATTATCTGATCTAAAAGAATTCATATACTGAAATATCAATGATTTACAGGATTGGGTTGCAAAGATATAGGGATTTAAAAATCAGAGTTTGTGGAAAAGACTCAATTCCTTTCATGTTAAAAAATTAAATACAGTAGGTCGGACATTATCTTACGCCCGGGCGTTTTTAACGTGACACCAGTCTGGTACATTTGAATTTTCCGAAAACTATTAAGTTATATTATTAGAAACTGGAAATAAATTGGTTAGGTGTGAACTGGAAACCGTGAAATATATTTTTAAGATAAAAACTGGAAACTTTAAAATATCCTGTTTAGATGCGAACTGTAAACCTTGAAATATCTAGTTTAGATGTGAACTGGAAACCTTGAAATATCCTGTTTAGATGCGAACTGGAAACCTTGAAATATCTTGTTTAGATGTGAACTGGAAACCTTGAAAA